CCCTCTGACACCTCCCTGCCACCAGTCTCCTCCTTCACCTTCAGGACTGACTCCTTGGATCTTGTGGTCACAGCCACACTTCTCCAGCTCCCCGTGGCTGCAGACATGAGTTACAGCAAAAGAAATGCCAGCAGCAGAAATGACATGGATGAAAGCAGATTCCCATGTGTCTTCAGTGGGGCAAGAAATGACACCAGTCTGTGGAGGGCAAAGGCACTGATGGGATGCAGGGTGGGAAAAGAGGCTGACTACGGACAGGAAGGATGCATTCAGACAGAAACTGCTCAGGAGAAATAGATGCCAGAATGTTCACCCGGTGCTGCTATTCCTGAGGCCAGGAGGCAGTAAGGCAGACAGCTCTGTGGCAGGGTGGGGCAAAAGATCTACCTGTCTGCAGAGCTGGTACCCCGAATGGTTCAGATGGGGCTGAAAAGCCAAGCCTGGCCAAATGAGGAAGTTTAGCCAGGATGCTAATATTTGTAAGAGCACATGCATTTGGTTCAGTTTGCTCCATGTTGATAGACATGTTAGCACATGAAGGAAGGCACTGGCCACTCTGTGTGACCCTCACACATTAGTCCAGGAAAGGCCGATGTGTTAAGGGGATCCCATAGGCATGCTGGAGGGACTCCATGACAACCCTGCCTGCACCACCTCCCCCTAGCTGACTTTGAATGATGACCTTGCCAAAGACCTGCATTCCCTGCAGAGTAGAGCAGTTCCGGCGCTGAGAGTGAAACTGGTGCTGGCATTCCTCGACAGCCAGCTCTGCACCTCGCTTCACTGCATCCATGGCTTCCACCTGCCACTGACAAACGTGGATTTGCTCTTCTACCAGCCCCATCAGACTAGCACAGCCCCTAAGGTCCTGGAGGGGTGCTTGCAGGGAAGTTGGCTTGGCCAGGTACCTGTGGGGCAGGGGAGAGATTCAGTCACACGTGGGCTAGAGCTGAGGCCATAGCTCTGCAGGACTAGCCCCCCTGTAGCCTTATTTTAGAGCATAAATGGGGCATGGATGGGGATGTGCCACCACTTGTCTGTGCTGAATTGAATGTTCCTGCTCCCCATCCTGGTCGGCACCTACAGTTTTACCATCCCTGTCCTTCCTGGCTCCCAGAAATGCCCCTTCTCATGCACTGCCTTTTGGTTGCCCAGATTCCATCTTCCACCCTTTTCTCACCCCTCTAGGTGACTTTCCAACCCAGACAGTACAAGTGCAAATCATGCTTTCAGCCAGGTCACAGCAGCAACATGCTGCATGGGGATCAGCACGGCATACAGCCACACCAACTCCATCCTGTCCTTGGCAAAACATCACCACCTTCAGCCACAGTGCAGCAGCTGCCTGAATTCCCTCTGCCCAGTAGTCACTTCCACAGCAGCCCCAGCTCAGCACTGCAAAGCAGGGGTAGCCCCAGCCCTGGGCAATAACCATGGGCTGCCCTGGTGTGCCTGCCAGCATGGGAGATTTGGTAGCCCACAGAAACTTGCTGCACTGGCCCTGCGAGGCTGTTCATGCCGGTGCTGTACCCTACCTACAGGCTGGGCAGCAAGGTGGGAGAGCTCTCAACTAGGGCTCTGGAGTGAGCATCCATCAGAATGAGCTCACATGGATGGGGACAGCATCAGTATCAGACCCTCAGCCTCTGCCATCCTGTCAGCAGATGATCTCGTTGTCTTCCTCCACACTCCAGTCACTTCATCAGCAGTCAGCAGCCCAAGACCCAGTCAGCAGCAGATGGAGCCTTCCCATCAAGAAGAACCTGGCAGCACCAAGCAGCTGTTGCTAGACTTACCAGCTCATCATCGCTTTGTCATCAAGCCCTCTGGGGAGATGGAAAGTCCCTGAAGTGATAGCTCATGGGAGCAGAGAGGGGAAGACCTGCAGCCTCCCTCATCCCCAGCCGCTGTTCCTGAGGACACTCCCTCACTTGCCTCCTTCAGGCTGGAGATTCTTCTTTTCTATACTGCAGCCCACATAGCTACAGAAAACAGGCACAGACCAGCTGCTCTCTGGCTCTCTTAACGAGGCTGAGGGACTCATTTTCTTTTCCATGGACAGTAGTTCTCCAAGGGCAGTCCTTGTTCTTCTCCTAAGCAGGTATAATGGGATGGCTGCCTCTCTTCTCAGTGGGTAGCCCTTTCCTAAGAACCTCTACGAGCCCAGGACAGTGTGAGCTGTGTGACCAGGGAGCTGAAATGTCCTAGGGCAAAACCCTGCCATTACCCCAGCCAGTCTGGGAAGTGCCAGCTGTTCCCACCACCTTGGAAGGTGAAACTCCTCACACAGCCTGCAGGTTTCTGCTTTTCCTGTCTGAATCATTCAGAAAGTGAAGCAGGGCTGCTCTGACCCTGCTGTGGTTTTTCCATAAAGGGGTTCACCCCTTTGTTGTGTTTTTCCACATTTTCCTGCACAAAGAAATCTGAAGAGCACTGGGGTTTATCAATCATGTTTTCAAACCTGAGCAGCCCATCTTGTGTAGCACAATTTCCACCGTTCTCTTTGGCTTCCCCGTTCTCTGCCATCCCTCCTTGCTCCTGCTTTCTGGAGTCAGCACTCTGGGGCAGCAGGCATGTTGGGATCTGCAGCATCAGGGTGTAGCCTCCAACACACACCCCAGTAATCTGGTCTTACCTGCTGTTCACTCAGACGGCAGTGAGGAAACACCAGGGGTTGTGCTGCTCTTCCAAGACACAGTGAAGGACAGAAGTGTGAGCCCACCTGGGTGAGGGGAGAAGGAGTTCATGAGCTGATGCGCCAAGACACAGTGAGGTGAGTGAGCCTGGCTGGGTTAGGGATGCTGTGGGGCTCACGGGCTCACGGGCTAGGCTAAATGCCACTGTGTCCTCCTCTTCTGACACATGGTAAAGCCAGGACTGCTGGGCTCACCCAGGTGTGCGCACACGTGTGCGGGGGGCAAGGGCTGCGGGGGAGGGACTAGTTCCCATGGAGGGTGTCAGAGACCCCTTTTGCAAAGGACAACCCCCAGTATATCTGCAAGCCTTTACCAGCAGCAGTGCCTTGACAGGAACTGAAGAGACAAAAAAAGCCATAAGAACAAAGATCCCAGTAACTAGGAAGTGAGAAAGGGGGTCTGGTTAAAAGAGAGAGGCACTGAAAAGAAACAGGGTGAGATCAGTGGTTTGGGTGCTATTGTACCACCCAGGGATTTATGAGCAGCAGGAACATATATCCCTTGACATGTCATTCCCTGAATGAGAAGTCAGTGACAGCAGAACAAGAGAGGCAAGGAGTGGGAAAGTCAAACACCCACAGGCAGAGGAGCCAGGCAAGGGCTGAAGAGAAAGAGGGAGCCCACAGGCACGGCACCTTCTCAGGGCAGCTGTTCCTGGGGAGGACAACAGTAGGGTTAGGAGCATCCCCATGAATTGTCTTCTTCCAGGTCTGCTGAGACTGGCAAAGGAAAGAAATAGGACTTGAAGCAACAGAGTGGCAGGTGGGCTCTGCAGAATGTCAGCTCCCTTCCCAGCTATATGTGGCAATGTCAGGTCACAGTTGTCCTGATAAATCAGCCCTTACACTGTCTTAGCACTGTGCCTCCTGTAGCCTTGAACATCAGAGACTGATGTTTGCAGCAAACATGCCTTTGCTTGCCACAGACACCAACACCTCTTCAGAGCTCAGGTTTTTTTGGGTCCCTGCCATGTGCCAGTGGAGTATACCTGGGCCCCCAGGGAGGAGTTCAACCCCAAAGTGCCCAAACCCGTGGGACTGACAGGACTCCAAGTCTTTGTGTTGGCTAGCAATCAAATCAACTAAATCTCACTTCCCACATTTCACTTCTACTTCCTGTTAAGCAATATTTTGGGGAGGGGGATGTTCTGTTCTTCCCCTGTCAGTAATCAGGGTGGCTGAGTTAGCAAGATGAGCAAGTATTTGGCACTATGATCCTAGGCAGGTCTCCTCAGTTGCAAAGACACCTGGGTGTTTCTTCTTACATGATTGCATTTGCTGTTATAGGATGTGGTTTAGCTTATCAGCTGTGGATAGCAAAGTTCATGTTTTGTGGTCAGCCAGAAGTGCATCAGGAAGCAAGAAAGGAGGAGAGAAGAACCTCAGCACGACAAATGTAGAATCAGCCATGGCACAGTAGGGGACAGCTGTGATTTGGATGAACAAGTAGCCAAAGAGCCTGCCCGCTTCTGTTTTGATTGAAGCTGCTTGCAGATTTGGTGCCTGGATTGAGACCTCTGCAGTGGGAGCGATCACTAGCCAGCAAGCCTGTGTGAACCCTTGGCCCTTCACCGGCAGAGAGGTAAGCCACATGGAAACATCTGGAGAGCTAGATGATCTGAGCACCTTGGGCACTTGCCACTGTGAGGGGCTGTGTACCTGCTGCCACACATGACCACAGGGCACTGGGGAACATCTGCACCTCTTCAGTTGTCTGGTGCACCTAGAGTTGCAGGGCAAATCAAAGTATTTACGCAAACAGAGGCTTTCTTCGGGATCCTGTGATACTAAAAGCATGGGCAGCCTGCAGAGCTTACTTGCCAAGTTGCTCACAATGGAGCCCTCTTCCACAGCGTCCTCATGAGATGAAAGGGTGTGACAATTCTAAGGAGTAGGCAATAGCAGTGTGACCAGACCTCATGAGTTAAATAATGAGGTCTCAGCTTTGATATCATGTACCTCTCATTAAAAACAATCCATCCTAATTCCCGAACATCTTCAGGGTTCCAATCATCAAAATAAGCTAATTTCTTGGGTAGAAGAAAGGTGAAAAGTGGGGCTTAAATATCACCTACAGCAGGTAAAAAGGATCCACACTTAAGAAAAAAATATACCTTCAACTTCTAAAGCGAAGTTGGGTGTGTTTTTGAGGTTTGGTGTATTCTTTGTTATTTCCTCTTGGTTTCAGACTTACTAAGTGAGCTTATAGTATTTGTGTTTTCAGCTCTGCACCCCAATATCACATATGCTGTCTGGAACCCTGGGGCAGCCATAAAGCTCTCCAGGGATTCATTAGCAAGTCACTGCCAGAAACACTGACCCAGCAGCATGCTCAGCAAGGTTTTCTAGCTGTCTTTTTCCATCTCATTTTTCAGCCCCATACTCAGCTCTTTCATCACTTTTGTAGTGCTAGGGGGCAGTGGCTCCTAGTGAGATAGTGCCAGGAGAGAGGATTCGCAGGACTAGGCTGCAATCTCATCTCAGGGCACGTGTGCCTGTTCTGGCCCTTGTATGCAAGTAGATCTAGGGTTTCTCACCCTCCAAAAGAAAAAATCAAAATCTGCATGGGTTTTGCAAGTCACAGTCTCAGCAGATGGTGATATTCAGGAGCTCATATTGAAGAGGCAGAAACACATACAGCCAGTCACCAAACAGAAAGTCTCTTCAGAATTTAAAGACAGCATCTTCTCATGAGGAGGAAGATTATTCAGTTGTGGTACCATTGCCTCCTTACACCTTGAGGCTTGAGACCCCTCGGCAGCTTCTGTGGAGAGCAATGAGTACTTGTGGTTCTTTTAGAGGCAGTTCTCAGACATTAACCAACAGGGATAATCCAACCTGTTTCAGCTCTCCTGTCTCCCTGCTACCAGCCTGTTTTAGCTGCCCATAGCTATCCTTTTCAGTGAGGAACAGTCAAGACAGTACCTCCAGAGCTCATCAGAGAAACACTATGCTCCCACAGCTTTATCTTTCCAATGACTCTGCCTGCATACGTCTTGTTTCAGATCTCTGAGATCTTGATCACAGTATCTGTTACTGCAAGTTTGAGACTATCATCTTACGTCACCATAACGTATTTTTTCTTCTGTGTTTCCACCTACCCACAAAAAAAAAAACCTCAAAAAACTCCAATATATTTTCTGCTCTCAGTGAACTTTTCTGCCAGCTTAGAACAATGCTGTTCAGTGTCTTGAAGGCTGAAGGGTTAGAGTATGTAAGGAAGTAAGGAAAGACCACTTGGAAGAGAAAGAAAAGATGATGGCAGGCAAAAAAATAAACACGTTTCTTTCACTGGTATTCATGGCAGGAAAGCCTGGGAGATTTCCACAGCACAAACTCTCTTTACAGGAAAATTTATGAAATTACTGTCTCTGATCAAAACAAAAGTAGGGACGCTTATGCAACAGCAAGATGAACTAAGCAGTGTCTGAAACCACATGGTTCCTACTCTGGAGGTCTGAAACTAACTGAAGAGTGGAAGACTTGACTAACTGTGGTGTAGAAACATTTGTTTAAATTTGCTTTTATAGGCTTACTAGCAGACTCAATTTGAGAAAAGGCTCTTGGGGGGTTTCAGACCAGGGAGCTTGATGTTTTTGCTGAACAAATTAATAGAAGCTATAATAAAGGGGAAAAAATCAATTGGCATGCAGCCACATCTAATTACTGGGGAAGAGTCTTCATGGCTTTTATAAAGGGATGCTATTCCCACAGTCCTTCCTTAAAGGAGTCAAGAAGCATATGAACAGTGGCCCAAGTGGATTTCCAGAAGGCTTTCGAAAGGGCTCTCACCAATGACACTTATAGAAATATAGATGAAAGGTTCCTACCTGGATAAAAAGTGCCTAAAAGATGGGATAAAGCATGAGGGTAGATGGTTGGTTTCCACAGTGGAGTTATAAGACACCAGTGCTGGGGCTTGGACTCTTTGACTTATTCATAAGGGATGAATAATAACAAATCTGTTGGAGACATAAAATTATTCAAGTTTAAAAAGATGAGTTCTCTGCTGTGAAGAACTGCAGAGATTAAGAGTGAGTGTCTGGACTTCAAATAACAGCTGAAATTTCACCTAGCAAAGCAATGGGAAAAACCAAACTGGACTGACCATTACCCCTTGCAAATGAGATCTACGCCACACAGCTCAGTGCATCCACATCACCAGTGTCATGTACATTTCAAGCCCTCCACTACAGGGCTCATATAGGCTGTAGCAGAAGAGGAAAGGTGTCGATAAGGGCAACAAGGATGTTAAGAAGTACAGAACAGTTTCTCTGTGAGGAACAGCTATGAAGACAAGGACCCTTCGGCCTCAAAAAGAAAGGGTTACTGATTGGGACTATGGTAGACATTTATAATATTAACAGCAATAAGCTGAAGGTGAATATGGATGGTTTATTCCACTGACTCTTCCAGCACTAAAACTAGGAACTGAATCTATCAGGTTCTGATTCAATAATGAGTATGTGGAAGTGGTTCCTCACCTGAGATGTGATTCAGATGTGGAACTCCTTGGCACATCTTGCACTGAATGATGTAGATGGTAAATTTTACATCAAGTCAAAAAGCAACTGAAAAAAATAATTAAATAAATGTTCCCTGAGGACCACTGAATACAACTAGGTCACCTCTGGCTTAGCAAATCCCTGGGCATGCTGGAAGCAGGAAGAGAACTTGAGAATGTGTAACTACATGATTGCTCTGTTCTTAACATTATCTCTTCACAATCCATGATTTGCCATAGAATACTAGTTGTAGACAGTCCACAGTGTGGACTGTGATGACATATTATATTCTCTAGAGGTGTCTATTGAATACCTCTCAAAAGCTTGAAAAAATAGGTTATCTATGGAGATAAGTCCATTTCCACCTGACATCTGACTGGTCTGGGTGCATGTGTTAAAGCAGATTGTGCTCTCTCATAGAGCTGAAGTCTCACCATCTTCATCTCAGTCAAGATGAAGGTCTCACCATTCTGTTTAGTAGTCTGCAGTCATTGCAGGGTTTGGCTCTAGCAAAAACTGACATATCCTCCTTGAGATTTTTTTAAAGCATTTAATCATTTCACTTGAAACCAACAACAATCTTGTATATTTTCCTTGTCTTGCTAGACTATCTTACACTTTAAACTTACACAAGACTCCATACAAAGCTTTCATCCACCAAGAAGGGTGAAATCCACTCAGATATAGCTTGACAAACCAGTAGAATCTTGTCTAAGAAACCTGTCTTGGCGGTAGATCTGCACAAGAACACAAAAGGATGAGCAAGTTGGTAGCTATCTGCTCTCTTGTCTTAGATTTCCACTATCATCATTTAACAAAGCGTTGCCAAAATTATTCTTTCCTATATATGAAATCAGCACACACTTCTGTCTTCAGCGGATCCTCCCTCTACACCTGTGCATTGCCACACAACGCCATCCAGAAGGTCTGATATGCCTGTCATGTTGCTGAGTGGCTTCCTCCAGTAATATCAACCTTAGGCAAAGATTTTTGCTAGACAAAAAATTCTACTTTCCTTTTGAAGTAAATCACAATCTACATGGACTCTGTGAGGGAGTCCCTATTTAGCCCAGGGAAACAGCTTTGGGGAACTATGTCACTAATCAATCCCTGCTCTAACATGGGGTCCTGTCCATGGGATGCAGTCCTTCAGATTGCTCCAGCATGGATCCCCTGTGAGGTCACAAGTCCTGCCAGCAAACCTGCTCCAGCATGGGCTCCTCACACCATGGGGCCACAGGTCCTGTCGGAAGCCTGCTCCAGTGTGGGGTTCCCACAAGGTCATAGTCTTCTTTGGGCATCCACCTGCTCCAACATGGGTCCTCCCTGGACTGCAGGTGGATATCTGCTTCACTGTGGATCTCCATGGGCTGCAGGGTGGCAGCCTGTCTGACCCTGCTTCTCCAGGGGCAACAGGAGATTCTCTGCTCCAGTGCCTGGAGCATGTCATTCCTCTCCTTCTTCACTGACCTTGGTCAGAGCTGTTTCAATCATAAATTCTCACTTTTCTGGCTGCAATTGCTGTCTCATAGTACCTTTTTCCCTTTCTTTACTATTTTATCCCATAAGCACTACCACCAATACTAATGGGCTGGGCCTTGGCCAGTGGTGGGGAGATCTTGGAGCTGTCTGATATTGGCTTTGTGGGACACAGGAGCAAGTTCTGACAAGTTCGCACAGAACCACTTCTGTAGACCCTACCACTACCAAAACCTTGCCACACAAACTCAATGCAGGGAGGCTGCTCATATGTCACCTGGAACCTTCCCTTGTCCAACCAAAGATGACCAGTTCCCTCAGCATCTCCTCGTGCGCTCGAGCCCGTAGAGCTTTCTGGTGGCCTTCCACTGGACTCGCTCCAGCTCTTCAGTGTTTGGCAAGACAGTGCTACCATTAGTATCTAGAGTGGTTACTAGCCTCACACCACTTTGGAGTCACAGCTATGTTTGTCCACATGAATCCCATTGCCCTTTCTTCTCTTGTGTGCTCCCTTAACCTGGCTGTGCTTCTCTGTGTTTGTGGGACATGAGCCGCTTCATGATTTATGGTGTAATAAGCAGGAGAATGATCTGAAGACAGGCAATCCAATTAAGTACCACTAGTCCCATGAAAGTAAGAATACCAAAAGAACTGTATGAATGTAAGCAGCATAAGGAACTTGAAGTCACTGGGACTGAGATTTGTGTGTGTTGTGTCACGTAGGAAAAGGAGCTAAGGTGGAGTCGGGTCTAACCGTAGTATAATTTTTTTTATCTGCAATGGGTGTACAAAGTCCTGTTTCTCTGATATAAAACATTACTATGCAGTTTTTATTTTAAGTTCCTTCCAGTCAGCATTTTTCCTTCAAAATGTTGCCTCTCTTCTTTTTCTTTCTCTTTCTCTGGAGCTGCCTCAACTACTTTCCCTGTGTGTTCATGCAGATCCTTTTTTGTATACATATGCTCTCAGCAGTGATCAAAGCAATGTGCATTTTCTGGAGCTGAGTGATAAATGGTTCTGTGCAACAACCACCTTCTCTGTGCTCTGTCTTCTTCTGTCATGTAATTACTTGCTTTCTAGTGTCCACTCTTCTTAGTCCTTTAGTTTCTTTGTGAGTTCTTGCTGCAGAAGCCACTGTGGTGGGATTTTAACATTTCAAGAGAATTCCTCCTCTAACTTAAACTCTTCTGTCTAGGTCTTCCACTCTGACCAGGAATTGTGCTGACAACTGGCAATGATCCTCCATCACATCAGCACCCCCATAACCACGGGAAAGAATTGCTGAACTTGGGGAAAAAGCTGACTTTCAGTGATTTTATTACCGTCCCGACCAGATGACCACAGACCAGCATTCCAAAGCAGCACTAGCCAAGAGACAGATGTGCCCATCTACCTTGCAACTGCAAATGAGGGGAATGACCTGTCTGTAACTTCTTAGAGGGGAATGACTTCCATCAGTGCTTTCCTTTGTGCTTCCTTAGTCACCAGCAGGCTCAACCAACTCAGCAAGACCATCCTCTGATCCTGCTGGGCATGTCAGCTTCCAATACATCTCAGACATGCAAGGATTACACCTTCAACCACAACCTCCTCCTGCCTGGCTACGTACTGATATTCATTACAGGTTTGATACTGAATGTGACAGCCCTATGGATATTCATCCGATACCTGCGCCTGAAGTCTGTAGTGATGATCTACATGTTCAACCTGGCCATAAGCGACCTCACCTTCACGCTCCCTCTGCCACTGAGACTCTACTACTATTCCAACCACCAGTGGCCATTTGGTAGCACCTTGTGCCAAGTCTCTGGCTCTGTCTTCCAGATCAACATGTATGGTAGCTGTCTCTTCCTCATGTGCATCAACCTGGATCGCTATGTTGCTATTGTTCATCCACTTCGTTGGCGGCATCTACGGCGTCCCAAAGTGGCCAAGCTCCTTTGCCTGATCATCTGGATTGTGATCTTCATGGGTTCCATCCCCACAGCCATAATCCTCAAGCAAAACCACTGTAAAGGTTATAACCAGACTGTTTATCTGTGCTTTGAAAGCTTTAGTGACAACATGTGGCAAAATAACCTCTTTCCCCTAGTTGTCCTGGCTGAAATCTTGGGGTTTCTCCTGCCTCTCAGCTGTGTGACATACTGCTCTATTCGGATCTTTCAGGAGCTCTGCCAGTCCAGACAGCCAAAGACCCTGCGACAGCAGAAGACTGTCCGTCTCCTCTTGGTCAATCTGGTCATCTTCATCATCTGCTTTGTGCCCTACAACACTACTCTGGCAGTTTATGGGATGATAAAGGCCCAGATGATGAAGGTTGAGGAAGAAACTCAACGCTCCGTGCGCCAAGTATTAATTATGACAATGTTGTTGGCCAGCATGAACTGCATGCTGGACCCCTTGATCTACTACTTTAGTACTGAGGGTTTCCGTAACACCTTTAAGAAACTGCGGCGGGGACAAGCCTGGGACTCAGAGATGGGCACGCTTAAGCATCAAGTTGTGGAGAACAAGTCAATACGAGACCATGTTGTCTCAAAAGCAAAATTGTTCCCACCTGAAAACTTCATCCATTTCAATGAATCTTCATCGTCACCTCCTACTGCAGTATTTTTAAATGGCCCTATTGAGGACTCGGAAATTTAACGACAGAAAAGTCATATCAGTGCAGAGTCACTACAGCAAGCCTGTGGAGAACTCTTCAGGGTAACCTAGCAAACTGTTTGAGGGAGCAAAACAGACGGTATGTGGGTGAACGTGATGATACAACACTGAAGGATGAAAGGTTGTTTTCAATAAACAGAGATGCCTTGGTGACATGGTCACACCTGACTCTTTTGATACAGGAAATGTAGTGGGGAACAAGGACTTGAAACCAGCCTAGTGTGTCTAGATTCAGACAGCATAAATTTCTATAGCAAGTCCATCCTGGCCGAGAACCGCCTGGCTGCACTGTGGCATGAAGCAGTTCTGGGGATCACCAGAACACAGATAGGGCACTCACCGCTGACAAAATGCTTTTAGTAGCAATGGCTGATGGAAACTTTTGACTAGATGTTTCAATTTGAGTTATAGGTCCAGCTCAGGGCACCTAAATAAGTATCTTAATTTTCCAAAAGAATTGAAGCATTTAGCAACCCTTGTTGGGGTCAAGGAGCATAGCTGAGTTTTCAGTACTCTTGCAGAAAATAGGTTCCTAACTGTATAGAAAGTCACAGGCCTTAGCAAAACAATCTTCTGGAGGTACATCAAATGTGCTTGTGCAGCTGTACACACACACATGCAGCACAATGGCTATACACTCACCTAAAGCAAAATGGCATGGGAAACACTAGGATACTTACAAATACACCCGACATTCCTAATTGCCTCAGAAAAAACAGAGAGGATACCAATACTGTCATTGTTTCTGAAGCTCACACTGATATTTGTACTTTGCACTCTCTTGTTGCTGGGCCAAAGGGTGATTGATTTCAGGTCTGAGAGATTCTCACTGCTGAAAAGAAATGATGTCACAGAATGAGGCTGTGGTGAAATATATTTGCTTGCACTGTTTGTACATGCTTTTTCAGCCTGCACCGTCTATGGAAACCCTATAAATCTCCCCAGAAGTGAGAAATCCAGCTGTACACAGGCAGTCCAGAAGCCTTAGTTATTCACTCATGCTAGTGACCATTCAAATTGCACTGCAAAACAACCTCTCTGTGGCTTTCAGCAGGTCTCAAGCTATCCCAGAGTGGGTTCATTATGTTTTGGGTTTTTTCTTAATGTTAAAGAAAAGGTCAGGGAAAGTGACAAGAAATACTTTTCAAAGTCCTGGTTTTTAGACTCTTGAATAAGCAATGAATCTGGTTTCAAGGCCATGCCTCACGACTGCTGTGGAAATACATGTGTTGTAATGCAACATGGATCTGTGTTAGGAGACACAGGGTTTTAAATCTACCTCTCCAGTCTCCCTTGAAGACTCTCTCTTCTACCAGACATGACTGCAGAAGTATGTCTTCAAGAAGACCTGTAGAAAATGAGCCTCTCCATAGAGACATCCTCATGTCACAAGTTGCCTTGGGAGACATATGCCCTAGGCAAGCCAACCCCAGCCCTTTGCTCAGCCCATGCATCACTGGCAGACCACTCTTGAAATCTGTCTGCAGATGAAGGACATTGAATGGTGCCTGAGAGGTGCAGGAAGAGGTGAGGAGGGCTTGCAGGACATTAGGTATTTCTATTTTGAAAATTCAGGACTGCCATGTGAATGTGAATCATCTGTAACATAGTGAAGGTGGAGAAGAAACCAAGCTGTGTGCCTGTCTTCTGCGAGGGTCTGATGCTACCCTTTTGTCCTGGGATTTATAGGATAATGGAGTGATATTACAGCAGAAGCACTGCCTCTATTTTCACATCTTCCTCCAACTTCCTCCTTTCTAGACCTCTTTCCTTGTCCCTGTCCTCTGGTCCTTTCTCCTCTGCCTAGATCTAACATGCCATGCACCCAAGCATCAATACAATGCCTTCACAGCTATGCTTTCTTCCCTTCAGAGAAGCTGATTTTTTCTTTCCTTTTAGCTTGACTAGAGCGTTGTCATAAATTCACAGAAAGATTTGGGTGGGAAGGGACCTCGTAAGGTCTCTACTCCAACTCCCTTCTCACAGCAAGTTGTTGAGGGCAGTGAGGGCTGGCTGCTCTCTAAAAGAACATAACAGCTGAGAGCCAGGCATGGTAACAAGGCAGGCAGAGGAAGAGGCTTACCCAGCAAGGTGAGTAAGGCAGGTATGGGCAGATAGCCAGGTTCAACTGAGAAACCAGATCATCAGACAATCTTGTGGTAATCAGGCAGGTCCAAGGTCAAACTAAGAAGTCGAGTCAGCATCAGAATCAGGTCTGAAGACAGCAGTCAGGATAAGCCACAGTCCAGAGACTGCCAGACAAGTCCATTGTGACAAGGCAGGTCATGGGTCAAGCCAGAAAGCCTCTCTATGAGTCTAGATCAACACAGTGCATTGTCAGGCACAGGCAAGATTTCTCAGGCAGGAGCCATGTGCAAGAGCACCAGCTTAAAAGCAGCTCCTGGGGCAGGGGGTCAGTCTTGGCTCAGGCTCCAGCAGAGCTTTCTGGTAACTCTCCACAAAGTCATCAGAGGGAAGAGGCAGTTCTCAGCTGCACTGTTTCTGACCTGTCCCCAGGCTCATACAGACAAAGACCCGGGACCAGGGAGGATAGTTCAGAGTGCTCAAAGCCTTGTCCAGGTGTCATCTGAGCTCCTCCAATGACGGGGATTCCTCAGCTCCTGAGGCACCCAGCCAGTGCTGAAAGATGCCCTGGGGAGAGGCTTTTCCTAATGCTCACCAGGATTGTTGCAAGTCATAGCTGTTGCCTCTTATGCTTTCTCAGGGCCACTATTAGCAGAGTCTGGCTCCATCTTCTCTTGGCAAGCTTACCAAATATGAATGAAGTGTCAGGTGGCAGATGCCACTCCTTTGGAAGAGGCTGCTCCTCTGCCAAAGTTCCGGTATCCTCCTCAACACGCAACACACAACTCGAAAAGCACACCAGAATCTTTTCTTATAGTTTCATTCCTGAAAATAGTGGAACTATTTTTAACTGGAACATTTCATAAATATTCCACCTCCAGCAAAGAAATTTTAGCTCAAATATTTTGACAAAATTATAAATAACTGAAAAGATGATCTCTTAATGAATCTCATCAACTAGTTTAACAATAAGGAGGGCTGCTGGTCATGCTACATGCAGAAGAAAAGTTCCTGACTTTGGGTTTCTGAAGGCTTTGCTTAATTGTTATATATAGGCAATGGTGTGCCCAGTGTGAGCTGTTGCATTCTGTCCTTAGTGTATTCAGTCTTTTTCAGCTTGCATTAGTTTAGTTTTATTTTTGAGGATTCTAGTAAAATTTAATTATTTGGGATTCTGGAGGGGATTTGGGATATTTTTCATGTCTGACAGAGAGAATTGGTGTTAGCTAGGTCTTCTGCTTCTGCATTTCTGCCTTTGTAAGCCCAATTTTTTTTGTGTTCCATCATGTGGTGATAAAGAAGAACACATGCATGTGTTGTCTTGCAGTGAAATGAGTCACTCACCCTATATTGCTTTATAGCTTCTGTTTAATGAGTATGTATAAAAGAAGCAAAACAAACAAATCTGAAACTCCTAGGATATGATGGTGTCCAACAGTACAAAACAGACCCACTTTAAAGCATGAGCTTAAAACAACAGGAACTACGCAAAGCAATAGCATTCAAGAAAGGAAAATTAAATGGGAATATAAGCTTAGCAAAGCCTTTTTAACCTGTGCAAGTGACCCTCTACATCTTATTGCGATCATTCTTGAATTAGTATTCTTGCTAAGTATGCCGGGGTAAAAGATGCCATTCGCTGCTTCCCTGCACTTTGTGTCATTTGCAGATGTGAACATTAAACAAATGTCTTCCTATCAAGTAAGACTAAACATGTGAAAGGTCAGAGAGATGGCAAAGGCACACAGAACACTTACTCTGTATGGATCAGACTGGGTGTCTGCAAAAATACATTAGGATTTTGAGTCTTTTGACTTCCAGAACAGATATGCCAGATGCTTCTGGAAACAGTTCCCTATTTGGATGTATAGAAATGCATTGCTATGACTATTAATCAAGATCTTAAAATGTTAGACTTTCTAGAAACCCACTGATCCTCTGGGTTCTGTAAGCCAGCCTGCAAAGCTATTCCAGAAGTCCCAGCACAAGCCAGACCTTATCTTCCAATTGCTTTTATTACTGTTTGTATTCCTTGCCCCATGTACTGGCTGTGTGCCTCCCATCACCTGACGTGGCTCTCCAACAAAACATGTATTTTGTATTACAAATGCTCTGAGCAACTTGAGCTGCGCCTGCTTTGAGCTTGGGAGGCTATCCCCTGTCTTACGCTCCCCCTCAGTTGCTGGGAGTTGAAATGGATGCCCTCCAGAGGTCCTTCCAACCTAAATAATTGTATGATTCTATGACCTCATCTTTCAGCTGCTGATCTGGTATCCCAAGCACTTTTCCAGCTTCTTCATTATTTTTCCCACCTAGAGTTGTTCTGGCTCGGATTACACTTTGTGTACCCTGCCTGCCTTCCAGTTGCAGCCAGAGTCCTTGATCCTGTGGCTGAGAGCGGTCAAAGCTTCACATTTCATGTGCTGCTTTTGAAGCCTTTCATTCAGACTCTTGTAGTTCTGCAATGCTAACAGCATTTCGACAGAGGCCAGGCTGCCGCTGTCTTGCTACTGTTGACCAGCACCGTCTCAGGGTTTCCTTGCAGTTTTCTACATTTCCAGTCCTCCACTGTCTCTGCTCTTATACTCAGAGAGATCTTTGGGCGTGGATCATTTTTTGTTCGGCTTGTGTAGCACCTTGTACAGTGAGATAGTGATCACTAATGGCTCCCAAACAAAATAAGAAGAAATAGTGTACTATCATTGAAGAACCTGATATGCTGATAATTTTATTCGAGGTTACTTGGGAGTCTGAATGTGCTAAAGCCAGGCATAGCTATCATTGCTTCACTCGGATGGTAACAGTGACAAGGCTTCCACGCCAGCTGTTAAACCTGCCTGCCCTCAAACACTATGCCCTGAAGCACCGGCAGTCACTCCACGGGAACGAGAAAGTAC